TCCTTAGGGGTCGGCTCGACTGGATTAGGGGTCTTGGGGATATTTTGGTTTTGGCTCGACGACGAGGATGCCTGGGCATTCCTCGGAGAGGATGCTTGAGCATTCCCCTGTGGGGGCGAGGAGGCTTCCGCCTTCCACTTGGCGCGGATGTACTCAGGTCCTGCCTTAGCGCAGGCCTCTCTGTACTCCTCCTCGCGCCTCTGTGCGTCGAGTTCTCTTCTCCTGGCGAAACCCTCTGCCAGGATCTGCTCCCGTCTGCGTCTCCAGGCATCATGCCGTGGGAGATTCTAGAGGTCCAGGTCTCGCTCTGTAGGATCCTCCCACCAAGGGACCGGTTCGGTTCCCTGCCGCTGGCGTGCTTGGAAGTCCAGCTGCATGATCTCCCTTCCGGGAACGTGTCGCACTTGCAGACGGTTCTGAGCCGCCGACGCTGAAGCAGGAGGCGTCACACTGTCGGATTCGGCATCATTCTGAATCTGCTGGCGCGCCTGCTCAAAGGCTGCGTCAAGATCCTCTTGAGCTTGCCTGGCGATATAATCGTCCAGCTCAGCAACATTGTAGGATCCTGGCGATCCGTCGTCCGACGAACCACCCGGGAACGGGTCGTACAGATCGTCATCGGCCCTGAAGCTTTCTATTAGAATAGCTTCTCGATAATCGCGATCGAGATCCGGGTCCTGGCTGTGCACAACGGAATCGGTCCCCAGGGGATCCGAGATGTTGTACAGCTCCGGAGTATTTGAGGCTGGCTCAGGCTCTGGAGCTGGATCTGGCTCTGAAGCAGGAACGGCTGGAACAGGCTGCTTAGCCTTCCCCTTTCCTTTGTTGCGCCCGGGGCTGCGCCCTCGGGCCACCATTGCTGTCGGGGCGAACTCCCAGGAGGGACTTATGGGACTAGACCCGACTATCATGGTGATTGCTTCCTTAAGCCACAAGTGAAGCCCTGTTGGGTGAATCCGTTCCTCCAACGCAATGGCCTGGTTGATGCGATCTTGGTACAAACCCATGATCTGCAGCACTGCCTCAGGGTCGAGGTCAGCGGTCGCGTCGTCAGCGGTAACCGCTTGAACCAGGGGAAGCGCGAGGTCCGTCGCTTCCAAGATGCGTTCCGAGACGGCTTTCCGTTCTCGGTGAAACTCCTGCGGCACTTCATCAACGATAGTGCCACACATTCTACAGAAGGTTCGGGACGTGATCCTCGAACTACCCCGATGGTCTGTTGCTTCATGTGAGCATACAGAGGGGTCTACGGTATATACATGTTCCCGTTTTTCTTGGGATACATGGCCGCAGTCCCTGCAGGTCTTGCGGACGTAATTCGCGGAACTCCCTTGGTAGGAGAATTCCGTGCACGAGCTACACTTCTCCGCCAAGGGCGGATTCGGTGGAGTCTTTTTCTTCGCGCCCTTTCCCCTCGGGCGAGGGTTATAGGTTCCCTCAGGGATACCTATCGAGGCACGAGTTTCGCGATAGTATTGACCTCCTACACCCTGCTGAATGACATAATATCTATTAAACCAGGTGAGGAAATCCTTAAGGTGCGCGGCAGGGCTCGGCTGGACGAGGGCCCAGCGCACGAACTCAGTCTTACGGGATACCTCCTCGTAAGTCTGGCCCTTGTGTTGACCGAGATTAAATCTTCGGTCGGCACCCTCCATCTGCATTGAGCTAGATGGTTGTGAGGGGGCAGCCTTGGATCTGGGTTCGCCTAGATCCCGCACCATATGGCCACTAGGGTCCATATCGTTCCCTGAGGGAACGTACAGGCCCCCGTCGGGGTCCTGTCGTGGCTCCACAATTGCTATGTGGGCCCGGGGTTTCCCTTTCCCTCCCTTAGAGGTAGGGAATTTGCACTCGGGGTCACCTGCCCAGTGACCAATAGCTCCACACCTGAGGCATTTCGACCGTGCCTTCAGGTTTTTCATTTTCTCGCGACGTTCGTCGAGCGTAAGGTGTGATCGCACTACCTTACCTTTCCCTTTTCCTTTGCGGCCCTTGCCCTTACGCCCCTTCGCTTTTCCGAATGCGGCGTTCGCGGCAAGCTGCAATTGGATTACATGGCCGCTGTCTGCATCCTCGGGATCAAGCTCCTCGAGGCAGTTAAGGGCGGTTGCCTCTTCTTCCTCGAGCTCGAATTCCTCGTAGCCCGGGTCCTCTTCCTCCTCGGCGGGGTAGGAGTGAGGATCGTACTCAGGCTCGTCCCCAAAGGCGGGGTACGAGGTGTCGTCGTACTCTTCGGCATCGTCGCCGTCGTCCGGCGGCGCGTCGTCGTAGTACTGCGTCTCGTCTTCAGCGACGTAGGCGCGACGGTTAAAACCCTTAGACCTATTCTTACCGTAGCCCTTAGGGTTCCCGCGGCGGGCACCAGGATGGTGATGCGGTCGACGGTCCTGAAAGGTACCGCCACCTAAGGAACGACCTTCCTTTAGGTGAACGCCGCTGTAGTGCTCCACTAGGGTAGCAGCAACTGCTTCAAAGCTCCGGTTGCTAGTGGTGCATGCCTTAATGACAAGGCACTCTTGCCGAGTCAAACCGGAAAGCTCCAATAGCAATTCTACGCGCATCGGCTCGGAAAGCTCGATGCTGGCGTCGAGAGTTTTGAGCAGTTTCCACCAGCGTCGTCGTCGGCTGACGTACGACAGCATCGACTCGCCACCTTGGCGTGCGAGGACACCTTGCTTTTGGCCCGCACGGAAGAGCTCTCGAGCTTCTTCGGTCGCACGGGGGAAGACGACATTCCTCAACTTGGTGATGAAATCCCGGAGGCCACCAGGGGCAGTCAGGGATTCGATACCGATATCCCGGGCGAGTTCGAAGGCTTCGTCCCGAAGTCCTTCCAGCACTTTATGCACCATTTCGGTTCGTGCCTTAATCGCATAGGATGACATTTCGTCGGCAACCGGCAGTTCTGTGACCGAGTCAGGTGACTTCGGAGCAGATGGTCTCCTGCGAGATCCACCATCAGAGGCTGCTGCAGATGCCTCGGCTGCATCTATGTCGGGCCTGTCCTCGGGGGGTACAGGGGCAGTGGCTCCCGCAGTCGGACTCTGCTCCACGACGCGGCTCTCATCGTCACTGCCTTCTTCTTCTGGCTCCACGGTCTTCTTAGATTTGCTCCTGATGGCATCTTCGTACAGTTTAAGCCTCATAGAGGTCCTAAACTCCCAGTCGTGGAACGTACTGGGGGTGCCATCATATATGTAGCTCCCGCTACGAGTCTCTAGGGGAGTACTCGAGTAGGTGGAGCGACTGTACCGAAGACCGGCCACGGACATGCTTGGCGAAAATTCGAAGGGAAAGAATTGACAGGGAGGTATGCAATGGTAGGTATTGAGCACAGGCTACAGGCTACTGCGATCCGCGCAGATACAGGTCCCGGAGGTACCTGGCTCCGCTGCCAGTTTGAGAAAACTGGTGGATCTTTTCTCCGACTGCGAAGCTATCTGAATATGACTCAAGGGCCCTAACGGCAGCGGGAAATATATATAGTTAACACATGCATGTCATGGCCATGGCTTCCTGTACATGTACAACAGAGGGTGCATTCACACAACGTTTGCAGTCAGCAAGCAGGGCTACAGGATACGGCATCGACGAGTTGTTGCAAGATTCATCCCGAAACTTAGTGCCCGGCCCCCATACGATGCGTGACAGGGGCCGTGTGCCGCATTCAGCAAGCCTGCATGACCCAGGCAGCTCAGCGCTAGAAGTTCTCAAACCAAAAGCTAGTTCAGGGCGCCTTTTTGTTGCGGACTTGGTGGTTCCAGGGCTTGCGACTTTCGTGGCTAGGCTTTGGTGCTTTCAGCCTCGCACAACGGCTTCTTGCAGGTGGCCGAAGCCACTGGGACCCTTTGGGGGCACATTCTGTTCGATACAAGGATGTCTGGGGCTGGAGATCTGGAGTCGAATGCCTAGTCGGGTTTCGGTCTATGACGCCAAAAGCGGGCGGAAAAAGGCTAAAATCAACAGAAAGTAGGGCTGAGCATACGGCTGACAGGCCCGAACCAAGCGAACCCCAAACCCTTCCCTTGGTCGAGGAAGCGGCTGATTCTGCACGGTCTCACCCAGAGCTTGCAACCTCAGTCGTTTGAATCTCAACACCCGAAGTCCTGATCCTAGCCCCACACTCGGTGTGGTCTGAAATGTGCTCCGGCGCTCTACTCCAAATCCTCATCTGGTGTGGCTCGTGTCCGAGCTTCGAGTTGCGCATGGTTGGGGGATTGGCTGTTGGCTTAAGGCAACGAGGAAGTGGCATTGAGTGCACTTCGAGTTTGCGTCATTAGGGCCTTTCTTTGGTTTTGGATAAGAGCCCAACTTCAAGCCACTGGGGCTCCGCGTGGCCCACTTCTCTGACGGGCTGTACGATACAGTCCTGGAGTTTCAATGTTCTTCGACGCGAAGATGCGCAGAAAGTGCTAGGACTGAAGAGAGCCGCCTGCTAGGAACGGTTATACAGAAAATGGAGAGCTTGAGCTTCAACGATGTATCAATCAAGCACCGCTATCCCTATTCCTTAGTTCAGCTAAGCCACATCGTAAACCCTGCGCTGTAAACCCTGAAATCAAGACCTCAGACATTCCCCGCTCTCTTTTTTGGGAGCTCGCCCATCATCCGATTGAAGCGGGACTCCGAAGCTAGGGAGGGCGCAGTTGCCACATCAGCTGCTGGAATACTTCCTGTTAGGACATCAAGCGCTCATAATGTACATGTGTCGTACATATAAACACACATGCAGTCACATGCATGCTTGAACCAATCTCTGTGTATGTTTGTCGTTGATTTTCGTGCATGCACAATACATGTTATAGACCATATATGTGTGTATGTATATGTGCTTATATGCATTTATTCATCCACATACATACATATCTACATACATACATACATACATACATATACATACATGCAGGCGTATTTACGCATATACCGACATCACATAGGAAAGCCTTCGTTTAGTCTCACTGGCTCAGATGCCTAGCCATAGATGTGCAACCAGCGCCTCAGTCCGTCCACAGCTCTGGCGGGGTGTGAGCGCTGGCCAGGACAGCCTGACGCTTTAATGATGTCGCTGAGCAGAGACCTGACGAAAGAAGAAGACTCCTTGAGTGGCATCCTGTATAAGGGAGGCACATGGATGAAGATGGAAGGGATCAGAGCACCAGGGCATCGCAGACGTCGATGCTCCCGGATGGAGTACAGGGTACGATAGTAGATCTCGTTGCAAAAGAAATCCCCGGCATCCCTGCTCCAGAGCTCATGCGGGTTTTGCGTATTCAGCGCTACCGCTCCAAGGTCACTGGTCGTTGGTAACAGTTGCGGCCCTTCCGGTGCCACCTTCCCTTTGTGCAAAGCGCGCACATTCGCGGCCATGGTCTCGAGCTTCAGGCCCTTGGCCTCATCCTCGAAGCCCAGGTGGACGACGGCATCCCAGCCGCCTTTCTCCACGACGTCCTGTGCCTCCAAGACCCCCAGTTCGGTCACGTCCACACGCAAACTGTGCACCACAAGCTGCTCCACGATGCTGCCATTCAGGGCCGTGGCGACCTCCCCGGAGGGATTCTGCGTGAAGTTGCCCCAAGGATTATAACCTGTCAGAAGGATCGCGGCCATGCCGCCCTGAGGCCACGCGGCCAGGGCCAGCAGTGCCTGTAGCCGCATGGCACCGAAGCTCTCGACCCCGACTTTCAGACTTTCAGGGTCGCTTCCAGGAGGGCGCCTTTTCGAGCCCAGTGCTCGCGCTGGCGGGTCGGCACGTGATCTCTCCGCAACTGAGGAAGACAGCCGGAAACCTCGAGGCTCGGACAGCTCCCTATCGGCCAGCTGCAGCCGAGCAGAAGCCCAGGAGGCCTTGCGCTTCGCTACGAAGAGAAAGCACATAGTCGCAGGAACAATACTCGTAGTCATAGTATTGCAGTATTTCATGGTAAAAGAGTGAGTGGCGATCCGAGCATCGGACGGTCGCCAGGTTGTGCGGCTTAAGCTGCGGAAGCTGAAGACGGACCCTGGGCCGAGATTTCTTCTGATCTTTCTGCTTAGCAGGGAGAAGTCGGGTGAAGTGCCTTGCCGTTACCAGTGTGGGGCTCCAGCTTCATAAGATCTTGTAAACACTGCTCGTCACGGAGGAAGCGACCCCCATCCCTATATGCAGACATCTTACGAGGTGCTTCCAAGACAGCTGAAGTTTCAATCCATCTCAAAGCTCCCCAGGATTCTCCTACACTGGCAAAGGCTAAACATGCAACCAAGTACCTTCTCACACGCTCAATTCTTCAAGGCCGCTTCCGACTCACATCCCCCAATTACGGCGTTGCCCAGGGCCCAGGGCACGGAAGACCCTCTCTGCAGAATTGTTCTGGGAGTGTTATCTACCTCGTAGCATCTGAAGTTAACAGCAGCAACGTTTGGGATTTTAGGGCTTCTTTGGGGGTCAAACTCGACCCGAGAACACAGGAAGCGTAGCAAAAGCCCTGACAAAAGGGAAGGCCGGTGTCAGGCGATCTTTTAGGACCCTCACACACCCTCCTAGGGCAACCCAAACTCGAAGCTAGCAGACTCAAACTCAGACCCTGGAATTAGCCCCCTCGCTCCACAGAAATACAGCAGCCCTTTGCATCCAGGCCTATTGCGACTGTCGGGTACCCCTAAAAAAGCCCTGAATCTTGAAAGCTGCTCTTCTGGGCTGCTCATGGTTGCCCAACACTACACCTTCGCTGCACAAATATTGCAAGTGAGGCCCGAACAAATCGAGGATTGGCCTTGGACTCGCAGTGCGGATGCTGGCTGACATTTCGCGGGTGTTGCAAGGATTTGTGTAACGTGTAAGGGAGTCCACGTGCGCAATGATTCCATATCAGAACGTAATGGCAGCAAAACAAACCTCAACCTTTCCCCAATCCGGGTCTTGTAGACTGGTCCCGAGGACTTGCCGGGCATCGGCACGGGACAAACAGTCAAGGATCCCAAACTACAAGAACCCCCATGAGCCCTGACGCCCAAACCCGGCAAGCCCTGCACCCTCAACCTGACACCCGGAGCCAGCTTCCTCCACTGAGGTCCGCTCTTTAGCTCCCGCGCTGTGCCATCGAGCTTAGCGGAGCGCTGCAGCGCCGTGGCGCAGTTGACCTTCGACGGCCCTACGGAGATTTCTCAGAAAGAACCTATGCCCTAGTCTATAGGCTCGACATGGCTGAATGATAGCGGATACACCTGTACACGGACGGCACAAGACGGCACGGCCAGCACGACGGTTTCGGGAATGCTCCTGAAGCAAAGTCTCCTCGAAAGGGGGTTGCGTGTTTTATGTTGCGGGCTTCGACGAAAACGCCTCAGGGCAGAACACTATCAAACTCATGGCCCTGCCGCTCCACCAAGGCCATGAGCTCCTCGAGGCAGATGCAGATGGCTTTGGCGTTTTCGACGGTTTGCGGTTTGCGGTTTTGCGGTTGCTTTCGTTGTGCACCCGCTTGCCATTTCGGGCTTTGGGTGTGAACTGTTCTGAAAGTGCAGGGGGGGTTGACAACCTTGACTACTGCAAGAACCCCACGTGCGATCCTCAAGCAGCTCGTGCATTTAGACTTTCTCGAGTTTGGGTCCTGACAGCTCCCCTTCGATGTGATCAGCTTGTTCAAGCCTCAGCGGCAGGGTGCTTCCCTAAGGGGCTTGGGCGTGGGACCCGACGCAAAAGCTTAGACATACGCCGCATTTCTCGGGTTGGAAGGCGTTTGCAGCGCAAAGCCCAACAACTCGTGGTCGAACTTTTACACGGTTTCGGTAACTTTTCCTCCACATTCGACTACGCTCAGAAAGCCTTTTGCGGAAGAACTTCGATTCTCAAGCTAGGCAAACTAGGGTCAGGGGCCAAGCATTCCGCACTCGGGCTTTCCATCCGGAGTAAGAAGGTGATCTTGCCAAGATCCTATGTTGCAAGACTCTGCTGCCTGCTATTACAGACGGCGCAGTCCCCAACAGAGGAAACCTACAAGCATAGCCAGCATAGCACAGCATTGAGAAGTCAAGTCTCCCAGAGCTGGAAGCTGGTCCAGGCAAATCAAAGCTCTCAAAGATCTGAAAAATGCAGGTATACGTGTGGGGTCAAGGCAGGTTGAGGGCTCAATGTCAGTGCCTGGGACTCAGCCGTCCAGCTGAACGTCTTTGGCTCGCAGGAAGACAGCAGACATGGTTTGTCCGCTGGGAACAGCAGATCCAAGTGAAACTCTTTTTTAGATGTTTGGGCAACAGCTTCGGACAGACATCCTCTTCTGCCGTCCTTCGGGTCAGCTACTGCGCCTGGACTGGGCTTCCAAGAGCTACTATGCGCCGTGTGTCGTAACCACGTTGACTGACACCCAGTCTTCCATTCTTTCTCGGAAACCCCCATCTAGGCCATCTGGCCCATGCGCCCACCTTTCAGGCCGACCGGTGCTTGCGGAGTCTGAGGAAGTCCGCCGGCACCCACGAATCCGCTTGAGGGCGTGAACCTCAAACAGACTTGACGTGCAGCGACCAACAAGGCCTTAACCCCCAAATACTTCAGAACCCCTTTTGCGATCCCCTGCGGGTCTGAGCATGCCGAGGGACTTTCACACATTGCTCAAAAAACTCGCAGGCCACCTAGAAGCCTCTAGGACCGAGGATTTTGAAGCCTTTCGAGTTCATGTCGCCAAGCAGCACTGGGGAGCCAGGGACGGAACGAGGCCCTGGTGAGAAACCTCCTGTGCCCGACACCATTCCCGGAATTGCCGGCTTGGCCCCGAATCCTTGCCCGGGAAGAGCTCGGGTTGCTTGCGGTTGCATCATGGATGGCCCCATGATAATCGGAGCGTTGCTGTAAGAAACCTCAGTTTGCACGTGGCATCACACGAGCCACTAAACAGCGTGACTGGCTGAGGTTGCCGACACGTGGCCGGCGGAACTTGCAGCGCCTGTAGAATATTGTCGAGCTCCTTCTGGATCGCAACCGACTGATTCTGCAACTCCGCCGAAGTCTGCAAGTGGGTCTCTGCCATTTGACCTCGCAATCTGCACCTTTGACCGCCGACCGTGGCACGTGCTGCAGCCTAGGCACGATGCTCATCGAGATTTCCAAAGCCTTCGGCAATGGCGCCTTTGCCGCCTTCGAACATCTGCTCCAACCTAGAGGCTTTTCAAGTGTTTATGGAGTTTTGTCAAAACTGAAGCTCCACGACCAAGCCAACCGTCGCGGGTTGCGCCCATCAATGCGTCCTGGATGCAACTGATGCATCTGGATCTTCACCCCATCATTGGCGCTGTGCTTCTGGCCCACCTCCCAGCGAACATGTGTTGTGTGTATGCGCAAAGTCCGCTGTGTTCTAAGATGCAATGAACTTCGTCAGGGTGGCAGATCTTGTCAGCTTCTTTGGATCCAGTGCGGTGTCTTACCAACAGATTCATGTGAAGATGGTCGACCATGCGACACCACCAACATCACCGTGGCCTCCGCAGCCTTCCCACAGAGATTCGAAGTGTTTCCGGCGATGTTTTCCTCGGATAGAGAAACTGTAAACGAGATCCGTATGAATCGGGTGAACGAAACACACACTGACCGTCCAATCTCTTGCCGGTCTCCAACATGGAATGGTATTGCTTCTCCTCCAGGCCGGTGCAGCTTTGTGGTCCAAGCTACGACACCCCTACATAAACCTTACACCCGTTCTGCAGAGGTAGGCAGGTCCTTGCCAAGCTGAAACGCCAATAAATCTGCGCAGCGGGCCAGCTCTCCGCGATAGCGGACAATATCCTGCGTTCTGCGTTGTACGCGGCTTCGACTCGGCTTACCGTATGCTCTCACACTCGGATTCTTTGCAGCCGGTCTAGGGTGGGGGTTGACTCATCATTTCTGTCGTCGAGTCTGTTCGGTCTAGATGCGGCAGACAGATGCATAAGTAAATTTGGTCACGACCTGAAACACCTGAAGCCTCTCCAAGCCTACAAAAATTCTGCAGGTCATGAGGCAAGTGCTAATTCGGCTGTGTTCAAACTGCGATGTTGCTGGCCATGGCCGTCATCACCAAGATCATGACAAGTATCACTCTTCTCTTATGCTGATGCCAAAAACACGGCAGTGTCCTGTGTCATTTGGAGGACTTCGCGCTCGAACTCTCCGCACAGCTGCTCGACAACTTGCATGCAATAGCTGCCTTAGGCTGTGCGGGCTGAATGTCCAGGAAGTTGCCTTGGCCCCTGTGGGTCAACACAAGATCGCATACTGAGCCAATAGCGGAAAGCATTCACCTTCGGCGCGTGGTCTGGCTGCCTGGGAGCAGGGCATCTGGACCAGCACGATCTCCAGAAGCTCAGCCGTGACTTCGTTGTGCAAGCAATGCAAGCAAGCCACTGTTGGCTCATGGCTGTTTAAACTGCGAGGAATCCAGTGAATAGGCAGGATGCAATCAAATGGCTGCAGCGAGGGGCGCTACTCTTGTTTGCAGGGTTGCCACCGCGAACGATCCCAAATAAGACTGAGACGATGACTGATGCTGAGAGGTGAGCGCTCTGTTCTGTCCTGGTTGCAATCCGAAAGGGGAAAATTGAGAAACACTCCGCACAGGTCGGCGCTAAAACCACCACATGGGTCCTGCGGTCGCTGCAGTTATCTCCTCGGCCGCAAGCCGACACGAAATCAATAGGGCGCCCAGTGCCCATCTCTGCACATGTACGCAACATGCGTCCTTTCACCTTCGCCGCGGCCTGGCAATTTTTATGCAGAGTCATGGCTTGGGGAAAGCGAGCATGTGCCTTTCTGCCCAACGAGTGCTTGATAGTTTCACATGTCTGGCAAAGCGCGGCCTCCATAGAACGAATCGATTGTCAGATTTTCGGGAGTTCGAGATGCGGACCTGTCCGAAAGCGACCACATCACGTGTTTAGGGTTTCAGCACTCACGACTGGTTGCGGGGCATACGCCCTCACAATTCGGATGTGCCAGGCGAAGTTCCCGGTTCGGGTCGGTGTGATACAACAGCTACAATACAGCTCCTCGGTTCTCCCAGTGTCTCAAAGGCACCAAGCAACAACGCTTTTAAGAAGCCCCTGCAGGGCCGATGTTATGGAAAGGGTCGCTTCGGGGATCGTCCGAACGCACTTCACAAGCGGCACCCTCGCATGCGAAAGACAGGGGTTTTGCGACGGGTGTTATGGTTGGACGCAAGCATCCCGGCTTTGACGGTTTAAATTAGGGCATAGGGTCAAGTGAGAAGCGGCAGCTTTGAAGCAGGGCACTCGGCCTGTGCTATCTATGCTCCTCGCGCTCTTTGCCTGGAGCTGCCTGCCGGCCTTGGATGCGCACGATGCGTCCAAACCAAGGAATGCCAACATTACTATACAGCCAAAGCAATGGCATGCTGAACCATAATCTTATATAGCTTACCCCTTAGACTGCCACCCGTCCTTGTCCCAAAAGAAGAACTCTGACCCGGTCTTTTTCGAAGTATTCGAAGGCAGTTTTGCATGGTTTTTTGCCCTCGATGCTGTATTGCCTCTTCCTCTTTCCTCGCTTTTTATTTGGCGTTATTCACACCGCGGCGTTCTTCTGCGTGATATAAGTGCGTCGGGGATGCCTCTCTCGCTCTCTGTCTCCTTGTTTGGTCCATCACTGAACCCTAGCTGGAAAATGCTGGGAACGCTATCCACGAGATACACACGCCGGAGGAATGCACTCCAAAGCTGCAACATTGGGGTTCTCCAAAGTTTTCCATTCACAACACGATCGGCATTGTACCGACAGCTAATACTGAATCCAATTACTCGTTCCACGTCGATGCTTCTGAATCTTTCGTCCACGCCTTCTACATCAGCTTCGCCTGTGCACTTTGGATGCCACGCTTCACACCAAGACTTGCATGACTGCACGTTGTCAGCAAAAGCATGAATGCAGTGCAGGGGCTCGATGAGGCGTAGAAAGACCTGTGAAAGTCAGCTTCCCGGCAACGGTGCACACGCGATGGTCTGAGATGCGGGCGACATGGCCAAAATATTGTCATGGAAACGGCTGCATGGCGGGCTGCACCCTTTTGTTCAAAATAAGGTCTATTTATGTCTAATTGTCGATCATTGGAATGCTGTTGTGCTCGAAACCAAACCGTCTTGGATTGAGAAGCATGTCAACGAATCGAAGCTGCGAAGTGCACGACACACCCATCTCGCTGAAGATCTGCGGACTCTAGGGCGTCACTGGCGGCTTGTTCCACATTAGAACCGCTCTCACGATTCCTTCGTCAGCGAGCTCCTTTTATGTACAATGCGACTTGATCTGACCAAAACCATTGTTAGGGAGCTAGCCTCACCTTCTTTCTGTCAAGCTGCCCTGAACAAAAAGGCAACAATGCGTCACCTGCACGCTGCCTACAGGGCATGAATC